CACAGTCCCAAGTGGTGGCAGGTGACGTCTGAGGTTCATGTGAGCTGGAGTTCTGCTTGCTTCTCGGTGGCCTTCGAAGGAGGAAGAGGTGATGAAGCCCCACGTGCCGCTGAAGCTTCTCACCTGAAAAGCGAGGTTTGGGTCAACAAGACTGGTTGAGCAGGCAAAGACAAAGAAGAAGGCCAAGACAGAGACAAAGACAAAGAAGAAGATGAAGAAGGCCAAGAGTGAGGAGTCTGACAAAGACAGTCTTGAGGCAGAGACTCTGGTACTGGGCCACACTGGCCAGACACAGAGTGAGGATGAATCGGAAGATGCAAAGGACTGCTTATTGAGCTTAAGCTGGCCCAGCGAAAACAAACAGAGTTGTTTGTTGATGTTTATGCTCGTTACTGGAGGTGTGAACTCTTGTTGATATGGATTCTCCTTTCAACACTGAATGCGAAACATGTTGAAAAAGTGCCATCATCAGTCAAAAGCATCGCCAACATCATCTGCGGTGATCAAAACTAACACCATTGAGTCAATTGAGCTCCAAGCTGGCAAACTAATGTAGACTCTTGATGAATAACTCCCCCAATATGAAGAGGATGTTCAATTCAAATGAGGGGCCCTTTTCCGTGCCTGGACTGTTGATGGTGAATTTTTCGAACATCCTCCTGAACCTCATTGCACAGCCTTTTGGTCGTGCACATGGGGTACTAATTGTGCGCGCCTGGTGTGGGAGTTTTGCACACTTCTACGTTGGCCCAAGCATCAAAAGACCAATACAAAAGACCCTGGTATTACCTGGGTGGAACTGGCTATATCCTTTATGCTATGGTCGGGTTGGACACTCCCGGTTAAAATACCAGTAGGTGACAGTCAGATCGCATATCCCTTGACGCACGAAAAAGTCCAGATGTTGCCTCTTAAGAAACGCTCACTCAGAGTTGTAGCAGACACCTTTCGGTTAATAGTAAAACACATTCAGACTTTCTCTCGGTCAAAAATCATGCCGGTGTACAAAAAACAGGGAGCAAGCAGTTTGCAGAAACTTGGATTCACAGCTTACCATGAAGGTGGTATCGCGTGCCGCCCCATCCTTCCTAATGCAGACCACACAAGTGACTACCTACATAAGATGGTCCTACATATAGCGCATGAACCACCGGTCCATTCAAATGAGGGGGTTTATTGATCAAGAGTCTACATTAGATAGGTAAATTCATTGCTATTAATAAAGTAAATGTCTACCCAAGGCGCTATTTTTCCAAAGATGTCCGTTCCACTGCTCCTTCCGCTTTGGCCCATCCCCGAACCCGCTGAACTCGCTCGCTCGGAACTCGCTCGCGGAGCCGCACGAGCCGGGCGTCCCGGCCCGGCCGGTGTAGCGCGCGGCGGGCGTCGCCCGCGCCGTGGCAGGACCCGTCTCCGCCTCCGCGGTCGCGGTGATGAGCGGCTGCCTCGGGCCCAACGGAGCGTGGGGGATGGGCCGGGAGCCCAGCGTCCGGTCGCGCTTGACCGGGCGGAACATGAACCGAATGGACTGACTACGATGACGAAGTCAAACTACCAAGAAACGGAACATGAAACGACTACGGAGCATGAACGAACTGACTACCGAGGTCAACCTACCCGTTGCTACGGAGTATAGAGGTCAAAACCTGTTGCCGAAGCACAACTCGTTTTATCAAAGAAATGGTCCATATTTAATGGGGGAGCTTTGCACGTGTTGGCTGAGTTGGCCTTGCAAGGACACATGTTTTTGGGAATAGTTTTGGAACTCATGTGTCTTGGAGGAAAGGACGTCACTTGCAACACGTGACAGGCACGACCCCTCACCTCCTAATCTACCCTCATGTTGGGTTGTGATTTGGGTCTTGTTCGGGGGTAGTCTGGATCCTACAAGCAGTTCTAAAGGAGTAGTTTTAAATCCTACCAGCTGCTTCCAAGGGGTCACCAATGGACAGGCCTTTCTAGGTCTCCATTGGACACTTGGAAGCGCTAGGAAAAGAGGTGAGCAGTGGATGATCACAAGTACGGATCCCCCAGTTGACTACCACTTTGGAGCTGGTGGCACTGTAGTTCAGCAGTGCTTATTTCCTCAGCCAGGATGCACGTTCACAGCTTCGTTTTTGCCCTTGGGGTCCTCAGAGCAGTCAGGCATTGTGGGGCCAAACGATCGTCACAGGGCATACACTTTGGTCTGGCACCACCACCCCTGGCCGTTTCTCGGCAGTCCTATAGCAGTCCCAAACAGGTTGTGTCTGGGTCTATCGTGGACACCGAGCGTGGTGATTCGGACGGACGCATGTGAATTGGTCCATGTTCCTTTTTGAAATGGCATGGCAGTCGACCTGTGGGTCTAGCTGAGAGAATCGGTTTGACTCGGGTTGACGTTGTGACGCCAGTTTACCCGCCTGCAAGAGCATCAATCACCGACAATCTTATTTGGGGTCGAAATGGTGAAAAAAGAAACACACAATTCCTAATCACTGTTCGGTTGACCTTCAAGGTAGTTCAACTACAAGGTGCAAATCCTGCTTTTGATCCCAAAAGCATCCAAAGCCATTTGGCTAAAGACTGGTCATCATCACCTCACTAGTGAGTTGGTGTGCTCCCAACTCCCGACATGAATTTCTTCAAACAAATGTAACATGCCTTCTACTTTTTGAAGCAAGCATGGGCCTCCCCGGCGGCCTCCTCCCCAAACAATCCATCAAATTAAAACAATCCAACACAAGAACACCCCATGCTCTCCGGTCTCCACCTCCTCCAAACCCCGATCCTAAACCCTATCGACCTCTCATCCCGACCTCTCAAACGAGTGGCCGTCCGAAGGTCGAAGAGGACCTGGTCACCCTCTGCGAGCGAGGTCAAATGAGGGTTCCCTGGCGCCCGGTCGGTCCGACGCGTCGGTCGCTGCTACTCAATGAGCTGCTAACAAGCTTACAGAGAAGCTCTTTTTTGGATGATACATTGACACCTAGACGGTCGCTTTTTTAAGCTGCTACTCCTTTTTTTCACGTGAATGATCGCGCAGAGTCTTTGCACTGAGTCTGCTGAACTCGGAGAATCGGCATGTGTCGGATCAAGCCTTAAACGGTTTACACAACATATCATAATGATCTCACAAGAATTATATTCCAAAGACCCATCAGTGGTGAGAATCTAGTCTATATATACTTGAATCTTATGAATCTAGATTTCCTAATTGACCATCTACCAGTTCCTTCTCGCAGGTCGCAACCACCTGACTTCCGCGAGACCAAATCTCTTGCAACTTTATCTCCTCATGGACAGCTTTTGTGTGAACTGAAACGTGGCAGTCACAGATTCACACATCCAGAAGAGTTCAGGCCCTTCTCACTGCACCTTTACAATCTAAAGGATGTGCAAACCTCCGAGCCTCTCTAAAACTCCAGAGGCTCTGTCGCGGACGCTCACCACGCGACGTGTGCGCGGGACGCTCACCACGCGACGGGTGCCCCAGCCGAAAGCCACCGCCCGGTGACGAGGCGCCACGCCTCGCAGACCCACGAAGACGTCGCCCTGGACGCGGTCACACCGGAGGAAGCCCCAGGTGTCCTGCACCACGATTCCGCGATGCGCTGGAGGTCCGAAGCCAGGGCGAAGCCAAGAGGACGAAGCTCAGGAGGTGGCAATGTTAATGTTTATTTTTGTAAAATAACAGGTTAGGATTTAGGATCTGTTAGGATGTGATCCAGTATTGGTGACCGCTTTGAAATAGGATGAAATAGGTACCATTTTTCAGAGATCGGCCAGTTCAGCTTCCAAAGCAACCCTTCTCTGGGCAACCCAGAGCACATCTCACCCTTCCATGGGTCTTGCCGTCCTTAAAGCTCCTCACCTTTCCCAAGATCATCGCATGAAGAGTCACAGCGCTAGAAGCACGTGCTATGCGGCGCCACAGGCCAGGGTCCGAGGGTCTTGGGTGGGGATTTGCCTACGACCGTCTGTGCAAAGGGTCTAAAGTTTGAGCTGGAGCTTCTAACATGTGGACCCACGAACGAATGTTGGCTGTCCCGCATCCTGAATAGTCCTATCGAGTTTAGTTGAAAGAAACCAGGTTGGCCTGGCCTGGGAGAATTCGGTGTTGCCAACAAATTCCTGGTTCTTTGGCAGAAGGACTCAGGTCTTGTCATGTTCCTGTCTGAATTTTTCAGCATGGGGGCAATTGGATGTTGCCCGGATCACGTGGTGAGGAACGATGACCACATGCGATTGCTTGTTCAAATGCGATTCGCACTCGTGCTGCACTCCGTGACGGGTCGGGGCCGGGTGTCTCCAGGTCATTGGCCGTGTCATGAATTCGCTGTCTCTCCGCAACCCATGTCGTTCATGAGAGATTTTTCAGGGCCATCGCCGGAGCCCACTCGAACATCGGCTCTGAGCTGTACAAACGGCGACAGTAGGTCAACCACACACTTAGTTCTGGAAGTGTCCAGGTAGACCTGCTGCAGCTTGTGAACAGGCAATGGGAACTCTAGCCTGGATCCTGCTGAGATCTGCCTACCTCGGTGGGTTTCAAGACGCCAAATAACTGAAGCAAGTAAATCCTGGTTCTTTCAAATAGTTCCACACGGACCTTGTCCACATCCTTCAAGTTTCAACACCGTTGTTCGTTATAGGCCTTCATGAGCTACACTCAAGGTCCATCTACAAGTACTACGGTTGATGGACTCATGGAACAAGCAAATGACCACCTTGGACATCAAAACGTTGACAAAACACACAAACACACACTTGCCTGGCCATGGGGCTTTCTCCCATGGGCCACACGGATGGGATGCAATGAACGATGATTCATATGATCCGCGGCCTCTTACGGGAAAGGGAAGGGGGGTTCAATGATGTGCGTGTTATTTATAGAACTGCTGGTTGAATTCTCTTGGCAATTTGGCGCGCTTTCTGATTCTCCAAGGTGTCCTTTTTCGGAAGAATTGGATTTCCCAGCATTGACAGCCTTCCGCGTCGACCCGTCAGCGCCAAGCCACCACAATGCCATGCCCCCGAAGGCTATTGGAAGGTTTCCTTGGTGACGGCCATTCAGGTGCCTTTCTTCAACTAGGACCCGTCACCAGGGGTACCCGACTAGGATAGTCGAACTAGGGTTCTTCAACCTCTGCTGGAACCGCGGAATTCACTGGGTCAAGTTGGGTTCAAGGGCCTACGTCGGGCCTACGTTCCTCAAGTGCTGAAGTGTGCTTGACTAAACGGAAGGTCTTCCAAAAACTCCGTTTCTGCCGGACTTGAACACCTGTTGTCTTCCCAAAAGGGATGAAGATGCAAAGCCACAAGATTCTGCGTGAAGATCTGCAAAAGTTTCATATATAGTTTTATGGTTTCATGTCTTATTCAAATCGCTGTTTCATGCTGGGATCGGTGAAATGGACAAGCCTGTTGGTCCCACAGGATGTAGACCAAGTCGATGGCTGACTGGTGTTTGTTTGCTCAAGATGCCTTACTCTGCACTCACATGTGCTCACTTCATGATTCGATGAAGTGCTGGGAAGGTCTTGGATTCACACAAATCACACAGATTAGGTGGTCTGCAAAAGCGGTGGGCCGTCCAAAGAAACCACTTCTCATGCGGATACTTCACATCAAATGTGGTAGCATGTGGTAGCCACATATCAGGTGTTCAAAAGAATCATTGTGGGTCAACAGCATCTCGTCTTCATGGCCCAAAACAGTTTCAATTTAAAATGTCATTTGCACGTCAATGGCACGGCCTCCGTTTAACCTGATGCTTCGCCCATGACCATGACCCATGAATCACCCAAACTTCTGCTCGCAGTGGCCCTCACTCCCTTCATGCTCCCAAGAAACCAACATTTTGTTCAATCATGTTCAATCCAAAAGCACCTCCATCCGGTTGGTGCATCTCGCCTCACGTCGCCGCTCCCCCACGCGTTGTGTCCGACGTGTCCCATGGCGCGGGTCGCTTCGAAACCCCATCCCCAGGGCGAGGCGCAGGATCCAAATGTTCCGACGATTCAAGTGGAACTGCGGATGCTCCTTCAAGCACCCCAAGACCTCGGCGGCCGCGGCCGCGGAGCGGATACACCGTCAAAGAGGGGCAGTAGTTGGGGCCCCTTGGAAAACCGCATCAATCAAGACGGTGCATGTGGCAGGAGACCGGAGGTGGTACTTGTGGAAATAGAATGATTGGGCTTTTGACGATCTTGGAAGTGGCCCCATGCAACTTGGTGATGCAAGTGATGCCGCAACAACTTTGGCCTGCATCTTCTGCATCACCAACCACCCTAAAACTAGCCTCCGCCAAAAACAATCAACTCGGCTGGCTTTCGTAATTTACAGTAGTACAGTATAGTCTTTGCGCTGGAATCGGTACGTAGCACGTGTTTGGATTTATATAGCGAATAGGGATAGTATTTTTGTAATCAATGACACTACACGGCTTGTCACCAATGCCTGCAGACGGAAGCGATACTCACTGTCACCCTCCTGCAACAGAGTCAATCTCAGGAGATAACCTCGCGTGAGTCAAAGCAAATCAAAAAACTGGTAAAGTGGACATCCTTCACTGCAATATGTAGTTCATAAACTTTGGTGTACATGGGGGGTACAGCGCTTTAACCCACCTCCACTCGCCACGGAGGTTCTACAATTACCCTCTATGCCCTATGAACACACAACTTCTTGTTCTGCCCCAGTCTCCAGCGCAGGGATCGTGACGTTGCTGGTACGACACACGCCGAGAGGCCGCCGTGACCGCCTCCATCAGCTTGGAGCCCGAAAGTTTCATCGGCTCCTGCCGCCGGACCCAGCGGCGCGGAAGCGAGCGCGGAGCTGTGGGGCTTGCCGCATGGAGCCAGGAGGTGAACATACTGAGAGTGAAAGTGTTTGGTTCCGGGTCTGATGGCAGCCGCCTAAGGGCGGCGGCTGCTGGTGTCATTGTCTGCGGGCATGGCATCATCGTGGACAATAACAAGCAGGTCCCATATCTTGGGCAAACTCACGGACAACATCTTCGACATGTAGAAACATGGATACTAAGAGTAATTGTACACCCATATCGTTCCTTTACTATATGCTATCTTTACTTCGTTTTTGGAAACGCAACCAACACACGAGGAGGTGTGGTAAGTCCAACCCGTGCGAACAGGGCTCAAGTGTCAAGCTGCCTCTTATTATTTTGTTATCTGTGGATCTCTTCTGTCCCCTTCGACGTCTATCTCGCCTATCCAATAATTATCTGTTGGAACTCGAGTTGGGTAGGTGTTTGTCTCAGAGACGTATTTGGGCAAACCAGCTGCTGCTCTCCTCCAGGCTCTTCTCCGACCTCTCTCTGGTCAAAGACTTGGTGGCCTCCTGCATGGAGCAGCACTGAAGACACTCATCAGGCATCACTGGCGAGGCACGAGCCTCGCTTCAAACACCAACGAAGGCGCATGGCTTTCGCCGCTGAAGGCGCATGGCCTTCTACAACCTGTGCCTCTGCCAGTGAACCCATTGTGTTTGGACATGACTGACCCCCCGTCTATAATAGCCATGAACTTGAAAAGAAAACACGAAAAGCAACCGCTGGGAAGCAACGACTGACTTCTGCCAAGGTTCGACTCAGCAGGACGATTGCTTGAGTCGAAGGGAGGGCGGACTCAGCCGGTCCATGACACGAAACAGGTGAGATCTGGATAGAGATGCTTAAGGGATCTTAAGGGGAAACATGTTTCACCCGTTTCACCCTCCCCACCACACACAACTTGCGCCAATCCGAACACGCACCTCTAGGTCCTTCCTCATAGGGGGGTACCATAGGGGAAACATGGGGAAACATGTTTCACCCTCCCCAAAGATAGAAACCCAAGGGTGCATGCGATTGCTTGGGTGACCTGATGTTGAAAAGGAACAACACATGATCATGTAGACTCTTGATCAACCCGCGCATATAAAAAGGTCCCAATCCAACATGGGGAGGGTTTATGAATCATGATGTCACATTGCTTGGCCGCCAGTGACTCCTCCTCCTTCTCCTCCACTTCTTCCTCTTCTTCCTGAGGATTCGGTGGTGACCACAGGAGGGTGGTGGATCTCATCTCCGACCACCGCAACATGGTGCCACCTGTTTTGTTGGATTGAACATGGACATCCAAACCAAAATGGAAGACTTCGCAAGCTTTCTGACCCGGATCCCACATCGGTCAAAGAAGGGCCACACAGGCTGTCAGCATATCCCACTCGGTTGCCACCTGCGATTCCAGGGGCTAGGGGCCTAGGGGGCTAGGAGTCGATCCCACACATGCCCCCCAAGCAGCCATGGTTGTTAAGTCTCTTGAGGCTTAAGTCGGCTTAAGTCCCCCATAGTCCGATGGTGATCTCTTTCCTTAGGTCTCGGCGTGTGGTGTCTGGTCTCCACATCCCCTCCTAACAAGGAACATCAAGGAACATCAATGAACCAATCCCCACATCAACAGCGAAAAGGTGAGTGTTCGAACCTGTTAGCAGCAGCTCACCGGGAGGTCTCCAAGGTGATCTTTCGGCACACCGAGCTCTCCATTTTCACCTGTTCGGCTCCACCTCCACCGTTCAACCCGCGTTTGATCTGTGTGCCTTGGCCTCCTTCAAGCTGCACACGGAGCCCTGGAGATGCAGTTGACTGGGAAGCATGGAGGTTGAGGTGACTTGGATGGTGAGTGCGAAATCAAAAACGCACTCGATCAACGTAAACTGGGAAGCTCCATCGTGCTACTAAACACACTCAACGGCAGGTGCAGATTGAATTGGACTCACAAACAGCTGACAACCTTGCAAGAAAGGTCTTGAGTGACTTGTTGATCGACGTCAGTCCAACACGCGGTTCAATTATTATCACATTTTCCACCTACACTGTTGAACAACCCCGTTGACTTGGCGGAGAAAAGGTGTCTTACAGTGACAGGCTCCCAATGCCCCGTTGCCGGTTAAGCTATTTTGATTCCAATGGCCACATGTTGCTTCTCTTCTTCCACCAATCGGGATCTCATAGGATCTCATCCAGAAGGCTGTCAAGGATTCCGGATTGCTTGGCCCTGCTGAGTGAAAACAATCATAGGAAAGGAGAAGGAGGAGTTGACAGCTCTGCTAAATCTAACATCTAACAACCCTCACCTGGCAGGTGGGGACAAAAACAACACATGAAACAAGGGGTCGATGCCGGACACTCCCAGTGCCCATCGGTTGAGGGGGCGCGCCTCTCGCTTCTTTCGGCGCGTCTTGGCCTAGCGTTCGGGGGGCGGTTGGATGGAGGATCCATGACCCAAACACTCCATGCCTACGGTGACCCCCTCAAACCAACCCCAATGTAGGTAAATATGCTAGTCCCATGAAGTGTCTGGGTCTTGTTCAAGGTCTCAGTGAAATAATGATATCAGCTTGTAGGGCCCGGGCTCTATCTCCAACGCTTGTCACCAACCACACCAAAACGCAGTTATCTTGGACCGAAGATGGCTACCACACGCTCCTTCCTTCGTGGCTACGACCACGAAGGTTCGCGTGCGTGCGGTCGGCCTTGCCATGCTCTGCAATCTGCTGAAGCTTCCTGGCAACGTGGCTGTTAGCTACCAACCCCCCCGGCAAAAAAAGGGACACCACGCGAGGCCAAGCAAGAACCGAATGCCTGGAATGGTGAAGCCTGACAATCTGCCTCCGTGTTTTGACTCTCTGTGCAGGAGCTCCGGTCCCTTTTTGAGACATTCCCAACTCATGTCAATGTTGACTTCTGATTTACACATGGCCCGTACTAATACTAAATAAATGTTTTCAAAACAAATATATAAAGGGTCGCCAAATACTACTTTTCTTTTTCTGGACCCTGATGTTCAGCTGCTTCCAATTTCCTATAATGTCCTTTCCTTTCCAATTCAAATCAAGTGTTCTTCTGGGATTTTTCTGGATTTCACATTATTTAGGGCCCGCACTTGATCGGGGGGTGTTTTATTATTCAGAGGTGGACATTTGACATTAGTGCATCTTTCCCACTGCAAACTGAAGCAAAAGGGCCCCTGGCCAAGGCTTTTGGACGAGGCATCTGAACATCAGTGGCTTGCTAGGATTAGGACGAGAGCAATGCAAACACCACTGCCTTCGACTGCTTCAGCCCCAACAGGTGTCAAAAAAGCAGCAAAGTCGTCCTGTCGTACCGTTCGAGAAGCTGCTTCTTCTGCAGGTTCGACTGCTTTCCTTGGCACGCATTGGCCTATACTGCCCCAAGCATGCCCAAGCTACTGAAGAGAGGCCGCAGTTAGTGAGTCTTTTCACCTATAGTTGTTGAGTAAGGTCAATGGGACAAGTCCCCGTTTCGACTCTATGGTTAGCAACTACACTAACCAAAGTCAGCTACCAAGTACTCCAATATTTGGTATTTGACCATCCGACCAGATGGCCCCGCTTTCCGAGGCTGAAAGCCTGGTGCCATTCATGCAAGCAAGTCTCGCTTCAAGGACAGCTGCTGCCAGCCCTGACAAGAAGTCCACCCACAATGCAGGTCGAAATCTTGAAGTGTGTTGACTTGTCTCTGGCAAACTACCTTCGGACCCGGACCTTAAAGGAAACACAGCAACTTCGAACAATACCTACCAGGCACCACAAGCGACACCTCAGTCTCACCAAATCTCACGCCCTCCGATCGCCATCATTCCATGCGCCCCAAACCAACCCCAATCAGATGCGCCTGGCAGGCGGGGTTCTCCCCGGGGTTTTCGAAGTCCACGGCCGAGAGCACGTCCCATTCCTCAGGAGCAGGAGTCGCTCCACCAGCCTCTTCAAGAGCTCCGGACGAAGCGGGGAGGACCGGTGCCCGAATTGGATGCCATTCAGTCTCAAACCCCAGACATGTAGAGAGCTCTCTATAGTGACCGAACATAGTGGAATGAGTTCCTCGGTTTGAATGCTGCTGAAGCCAAACATGTAAACATGTTGTAAACATATCGGATTTCATACTGCAGCCCAACATAGTGGAACGCAGTCAAGTTAAGCCTCTTTTCAAGCCTCTTCTGCGTTGCAGACTCGGGCCTGTGGGGATCCTTCAAATTGATGAATGAAGAACGCAACGACTGTGACTCACTACATTTGTCCACGCATCAACTGTTCAATGCTTCGCTGAAACTGAACCACTATCAAATTGTCGCCACTTCCATGGTACACACGGCCCAAAGTTCATAGAAAAACTAGAGGATGTTTCAGATTTCAAGGAGGCTTGCTGAATGGATCAGAAGCTTCAGGGCCTTCGTTCCCTCGGTCCGATCAGCTCAGGCACCAGAATCTGGGTGTCACCAATCTCGTACCTGGTAGGTAGACCTCCTGGATCCTGGCGGACTCCTTGGATCCTGGTGGCTTTTTCACCCTAATTTTGACCCATCCCCCACCATCCGGTCCAAGCACGTCTGGACGATCCAAGAGTCTCTCTTCTTCACCATGTAATCCACCTGACGAACGCGGGTCATTTTGATGAACGCGAGGCGATCCAAGAACTTGGCAATCGAAAACCTCCCCAGATGTGGTGAGACACATTGAACGAACCAATCGTTCGCAAAGGCGGCCCAAAGGCGGCCCAAACTGAGCTGAAAGTGCGCAACTCACGGATGCTTGTTGTCTTGCAAAACTCACGGATGCTTGCTTTTCGAAATCGGAGTGACAGGGTCCTTATGGTACTTGAACTGCAGGTAGAATCTCAATGAATCTCATGCAGGCTAAGCTCGTTCTTCATGTTCGTCTTGGAAGGTTGTAATAAATTTCACCCATAAACACTATTACATATTCATGACCAAAAACCTGAAACCCGGCCTTCTCAAAAATAAAGGCACACCTCCAGCCACCAGAGGCCCGGCCCGTCTCATCCACACACGTCACACGTCACTCGACGGCCCGGTCTCGACCTGCTTGGCTTCGTCGGTGTCGCCCATGAGCTGCGAGTCGATGTCCTCCAGGCGCCGCTTCACCACCACCAGCGCCTGACGGCCGTGGCAGGCCCGTTGGGTCAAAGACCGGGCACCGGGGTCAAGAATCTTCAAGATAGAACGAAGCTTCAATGCAAAAAGTGCTTCTTATTATGTCTGGTTGACATGGAATTCTTTCTGTCTCCTTATTTTAGATTATTATTATATAGTTTTTTAAATCATTATTTATTCCTGTATTTCGTTCTTTCTTTCTTTCTTTCCTTTCTTTCTTTCTTTCCTTCCTTCCTTCCTTCCTTCCTTCTTTCTCTCTTTCTTTCTTTCTTTCTTTCTTTCTCTCATACACTTTGCGGCGCGGGCCCCAGAAAGGAAGAAAACCAGTAGTCACAAACTCCAGCACAAACAACTTAGCTTCCCCCCAACCAACCCTCGGCCCTCAGCCCTCCATTGTCCCAGCGCCGAGCCGTCCGGATCACTTCGTCGTGGAAAGTCTCTGGCACAATCCTTGGCTTGGCGGTCCTGTTTTGGACGACCAAAGGGGATCAAATCGGGTCGAGACAGTCTGGTGGTTTTCCGTGTGACAAACAGTTCATGAAGAGGAAAACAACACCCTGGGAGTCAAAGACTATAAAAAGAATGGTCTTTAGGTGACCCGAAAAGGAATTTCCTTGACTTCAGTCGGTCAAACTATAGTCTTTGGACTTCTAGGGAACATATGTTCTCCACATGAAAGTAACACCGAGGAAAACGGCACACCAAAGGGTTGGCCCCCGGCACACACGCACACACCAAACAGTGATGTATGGTCATTCCGCCTTAGACCTGAGAACTTCATAGAACTTAGTGTTAGTGCTAGCTGTTGGCAAGTCTAACTGGAGGATTGATCATTGCAATGGCTTGCTGGAATTGACCCATTCATTCCTAGGCATTGCGGCATTAACACAAAGCCACTGCTTGGACCCTCTAACCACCCGGCCTTTTTCAATCTGAGAACCCGCTGAACAAATCAAGCACTTCTCAGTAGAGTAGGACTGATTCTCACCTTCTACCCTACTGGCCCTTGGTCTGCTGCTCAGGGAACATCATGAAAATGATAAAATGAGTGACCAAACTCCCAAAAGTGGCCAATCTTCTGCCAAGTTGCCCAGCTTCTTTATGTGCGAGCCACTCTTTCAGCACGCAGCAAGCCTTTGAAAACCTTACCAACCGTGTTGAGGACGGGACGATGAACTCCAAGACGACCCGACAATGGTCGATGGTCAAGCTATGGCTGGGGAAATGGCTTGCCATAGCTCGGCTTTAGCAAGTGCTTCTGCCAGGCTAGGATGCAAAAACACTCCACCTGTATCAAACAGGCTTGCTAGTGTGAAGTGGTTGGACTGCCCGTCTTGAAACAACAAAGAACCGGCATTCAATGTTCTTAAAGGTCTTAAAGGACACCATTTTCCTTCGAAAGAAACCATTCCTCATACCAGCCTGACGACCAAATCTTCAAAAAATGCCTCCAAGGCACTTGAACTCTTGGGCGAACTCGAAAATGGCCGAGGCACGATCCAGGTGGAAGCACGAGGGGAAAAACTGTCCTGTGCCGAACTTGCGAACGAAGGACCCGAGGGATGGTAGACACCCCCACCAAACCAGCATAGAAAACGACTGGTGAAGGCCCATAGAATGTGCACATCTATAGGAGTGCCATTTTGTGAGGTACATTCCGAATAAGCATGTCGCATGGCATGACTCCTTGGATGATCATTTTGCCATTTTGCCCCACACATGGTGTTCCATGATTCTGTCCAGCTTCAGAAGGCCAAAGGAGCGTCCATCCCGGCCTTTGATCCCTGAAAATTCCCTTTTCGATCAAATGGGCTAGCGGCTAGTTCTTGTTGAGGCACATTTGTCCGTTCGCCGTTCCCGTCTCTGGAGTTCGAAGGCTCTATTTCCTTCACACGACACACATCGGGCCGTGATATTTCTCTTGGGGCAAGGTCTTCCATACATGAGTCTTACCACTCAACTCCCTTCATTCCCAAAGCGAATCTACGTACTGAACCTCAGTGTAATTAATGTATATAGTTGAACTGTACCTAAACATTCCAATGTATGAAATGTCGAATCTATCCTGCATTCTACCCCTGAGACCCACCCCATAATAGCGCTTGGGTTTAGGGGCACATGGCATCCCCAATCATCGCCGATACATGCCGAACCTGTGTGTTCGGTCCCAGGCACTGGCATCGTGGGGGCTGCTGGTGGACTGCAGGTTCTCCGCCAAGCCTCCGACGCAGCGCAGCGGTTCCGCTTCCGAGTCTCCCAGGTCCCCGTCTGGGTGAGTGGGCTGAGTCTGGGTGGATGGAAAGTCTCCACATCAGATCTGGAACCGATGGGCATGGCCAAAAGGAACGATAGCATCTGTGGGAATTTTCTGTAGCATCTATTGTTGCACTGCATCTACTTGACCACTGGTGGAGCACAACTTGAGAGGAGGGAAACACGAAAGGTAGGACAGCGGGAAGAGAAGAGAACGCGAGAGGCAGGAACAAAAATGCAATGTTCGACATGGTGATTTATCCCCTCGGAGGCGACCTTTCGTAAATATATGTTCATAT